TGGAGCTCTGGGGAGTAGCACAAGGTGTCCCCGAGAGACGACCCCGCGCCGAGCTCCGATCCTGCCGCCGCAGTGGGACTGTGCTCCGTAGCCAGGGCCCCTTCCCTGGGGCTTTCTTGCCTCCAGGCGGGTGAGGGAGGACATCGTGAGGACATGTCTGACCACCTGGTGCTTTGGGTTTCCTTTCAGATCGATGACATTGCGGACGGCGCGGTGAAACCCCCTCCGAACAAGTATCCCATCTTCTTCTTCGGCACCCACGAGACGTAAGCGTTAGCCTCGCTCCCCTCGCCCGGGCTCTGCCTCTGCTCCGGCCTCACCTCTGCTTTGTTTCTCTCCAGAGCCTTCTTAGGCCCTAAAGATCTCTTCCCTTATGAAAAATATAAAGACAAATATGGCAAACCAAACAAGAGGAAAGGTTTCAACGAGGGACTGTGGGAAATCCAGAACAACCCTCACGCCAGTTACAGTGCCCCTGCGGTGAGTGCAGCCAGGGCTGGGGCTGTGGCCCCTCCACCCCTTCCTCCCTCCACGTTGCTCTCCTCCTCCTCCTGCTTCTCATTGCTGCGGTGCTGATGTGCTTCCAGCTTGGCTTCCTCGGGGTGGAATTAGCTTCCCTTTCCTTCCCTGCCCTCTCCCTTCCTCAGAGAGTTTGCTTTTCCTTCTCTTCCTCCTCCAGAGGAGAAAGATGCTTTCACCCCGTTGTGTCACTGGGGTTGTGCTTTGTGCTGCTTGCCCAAAATCGTGGAGATTTTGTTGTCAGAGCAAGAGCTTGAGGCTTGCTCATTCCCAGCTCTCAGATCTGGACTGTTGGGTCGTCTTCTTCATCTGTTTCCAAGGTCTTGAGCCCTCCAAGTGGGATTTGGAACAGCTCTTTGGCAAGTGCTCGTGGGGGCATTTCCTAACCATAATTGTGCAGTTTGTGGTATCATGATCATCAGAGGAGACCTCCAGCTTCGTAGGCAGTTGGTGTGAAGAGGCAGAGGAAGGTTCTTAGGTGAACTGCAAGGTCAGGGTGGTCTGGAGGTCATCGGGGCAGGGAATGATCCACCTTGGCTGTGCTGTGGCCAGTGAAGGAGAGAGGATGTGGTTTGAGGGGATGTGGGAGATGGTCTGACCTAAAACTGTTGATAAGGGTAAGGTGAGACTGTGGAGGTGTTCAGAAACCTGGAGGTTGGTGATGGTGAGGGAAGCAGCTCCCACTGTGGCCAAGGATCCACCAGGAACTCCCATCAGGGATGAGGAACCTTCTGCAATTGAAGGAACCAAGGCCCCAGAGAGGCTGAGAGTTCACCAATGCCAACTGCATCCTGTGGCCAGAAGGAGCAGGAGAGGACACTGAAGTAGAGGTTTTCCTTGGTTTTGAGACCTAAATGAAGTGAGGTACCAGGAGCAGCCAAGGGCAAGGAGAGGCTTTCCAGCAGCTGGAAGAATCCTGGCTCTAGGGAATGCCAGTCCTGCCATGCACAAGGGATCAGCCCAGAAGATGGAAGTTGGGATGTGATGTCCTTGTATGAGGAACCTCCTGATGGACTGGAGAAGTGAGGAGACCTTCAGGGAGCAAGACAGAGATCTCAACTGTGAAGAGTGTGGTGGCCACCTGGACATCCTGTGTGGACCTTTCCCATGGAGAAGGTGTGAAGAGGACAGGAAGAGGCCTGGTCCAAGTGGAGGAAGGAAAACATCCACTCCCTGATGCTGGAGGAGAGGCTGAACCAGCATCCCCCACTTGTCTGGCGCCGTTAGGGCAGAGGAGGGTCTGCTCTCAGGAGAGATCCCAGTTCCAGGCTGCTCCAGGGGGTTGGGCAGAGTCAAGGATGGGTGGAAGAGGGGAGTGAGGTGACAGCACTGTGGAAACTGAGCTGGGGGATCCAGGGAATGTGGCACTGGTGGTCTTGGAGTGGTGTGTGAGGGGCTGTGGGAAGGGGGTGGCAGGAGAGCTGGAAGAGGGTGCAGGGGAGTTAGAAGAGGGTACAAGGGAGTTAGGAGGGAGTGCAGGGGAGTTGGAAGAGGGTTCAGGGAAGTTAAAAGGGTTCAGAAGAGCATTCTGGTTGAAGGGTTGGTGGCATTGTCCAGAGCCATTCCCAATGGATCCATGCTGGGAGGGGATGCTGCTCCACGCTGCTCTGCATGCACAGCTCTGCCATCCTTCGCTCCCCACCCTCTTGTGCCCCTTCTCCTTTCCTTGCTCCTCCCCAAAATTCCGCCCAGGCCCCTCGGGGTGGTGACACCTCTCTCCTCCTGCTGTCTCTAGCCCGCGAGCTCCTCCGACAGCGACGTCCCCGACAACGACCCCATGGCGGGAAGCGATGCCGGAGACGACGAGGAAGACTCTGCCATGGCTGCAATCCCCACGGAGAAGGTGGATAGTGATGAGGACTCGGATCGAGGCAGTGACCACAGTGGGCTCAAGCGAAAATCGTTGGCCATGAAGGTGAGTGTGGGCTGGGGATGGGTGGCCTGGGCACCTTGGGTTCACCACGGAGCTTTCCTCGAACTTCTCATGGCAGAAAGTAGTGAAGGATCATAGAATTGTGGAATTTTAGGGGTTGGAATAGAGCTTAGAGATCATCTCCAACCCCCTCCCCTGGGCAGGGACACCTCCCACCAGAGCAGGTTGCTCAAGGATTTTCCCAACCTGACAGGGTTGGGGCAGCCACAGCCTCTCTGGGCAACCTGTGCCAGTGTCTCACCACCCTCACAGGAAAAAACTTCCTAAGATCTAACCTAAATTTCCCTCTATCAATTTCTCCCCATTGCTCCTTGTCCTGTCCCTGCAGCTCCTCCTCTGCAGCTTCCCTGGAGCCGAGCCCCTTCCTGGAAGGCTTCTATGAGTTCTCCATGCAACCAACTCCCTCTGGATTCTCCAGTGGGAAATGGGGTTCAGGGTGTGTTTGGGGGTCTCACAGCTGTCTCATGATGCCTGTGGGATGGAACAGTCAATCCTGGTGGAGTTTGCAGCCTGGAGGAGAATCCAGAGCTACAGATCTGAGTGCACATGGCTGTTCTTGCAGGGCCAGTTGGGAATCTATGAGTTCTCCATGCAACCAACTCCCTCTGGATTCTCCAGTGGGAAATGGGGTTCAGGGTGTGTTTGGGGGTCTCACAGCTGTCTCATGATGCCTGTGGGATGGAACAGTCAATCCTGGTGGAGTTTGCAGCCTGGAGGAGAATCCAGAGCTACAGATCTGAGTGCACATGGCTGTTCTTGCAGGGCCAGTTGGGAAGAGTTGGGAAAAACCCCTTCCTGGGAAGCAGTGGCCTTCCATGGTGGGTGGAGAGGGAATGAGCTTCTCTCATGTTGTCACCTCTCCCACCCCAGATGCAAGTGACAAAACGGCCTCGGAAATCCTCCAGTGACCTGGATCAGGGCAGCCCCTCCGTGACGGACGAGGAGAACTCGGAAACATCTTCTGAGTCGGAAAAAAACAGTGACCAGGTGAGAGGGATTTGGGATGTGCTGACAGTGGGGAGAGGGCTGGAGGGAGAGCATCCTTGTCTGAGGGACAAAGGCTTGAGGGAACCTAACTGGCTTCTGACCCCATCCTGAGACTGTTCCATGTTTTCTCATATCTGTGTGTTCCTCCAGGATTTCACTCCGGAAAAGAAACCAGTGGC